CTTCAGCTCAAGGCGAGCGCTCTACCACTTGAGCTACAGCGCCACTTCCGGTTTTCTGGTGGTTTATTGGAGATAGGAGTCTCACGGTCTCTCCTGCCCCTGCCCTGGCTGGCTTTGAACCTCGATCCTCAGATCTCAGCCTCCTGAGTAGCTAGGATTACAGGCGTGAGCCACCAGTGCCCGGCCATTATGAGACTTTTACTTGTACAATTTACCCTTCTGTCTAACTCTCCCAGCATGTTTTAAGGTAATTTTGGATAAATCAACAATCTTCGTCAACATTATGACATTTACCTATTTATTCTGTAGCTAATTTCTAAAATGAACCACTAACTTTAAAACATTTTTACATTTATAGGATAGCTATAAAGTTAGTATAGAGTCCCCATGCAGTTCCCATCCCATCGTTTACTTCTTATAATACCACAGCCCATTTGTCACAACTAAGAAACCAACATTCTTCGTAACTAGGCACCATTTCTATGACAATTAACAAAACTGCATACTTGTTTTGGATTTCATCAGCTTCTCCCAAATGTCCTTTCTATCCCGTAGAGACATTACAGTAGTTGTTACCAGGCTCCTTTGGGCCGTGACAGTTTCTCTATTTTTCTGTTTTCAATGACCTCAGCAGTGTAGAGGAATACTGTTTCCATATTTTGTACAGCTGGGCCCTCAGTATGCTTTTCTTTTTTTTTTTTTTTTTTTTTTGTCAGTCGTGGGGCTTGAGCTGTAGGACTGGGCGCTGTCCCTGAGCTCTTCAGCTCAAGATGAGCGCTCTACCACCTGAGCACCGTGCCATTTCCAGCCTTTTCTGTTTATGTAGTACTGAGGAATCGAACCCAAGGCCTCATGCATGCGAGGCAAGCACTCTACCTCTGAGCCACCTTAGACTGGGAATATTGACTTTTAGGAAGACCACTTAAAAAGTAAAATGCTCTTCTCATCAAGATACATTCATCATTGGTGACCATTTTGATTCCTTGGTCAAAGTGGGGTTTGCCAGGTTTCTCTACTGAAAATCTCCCTTGTTTTTCCTCTAAGCTAGGGGATGGGAGACTAACACCCACCTCTAGAGGAGGCAGTTCAGAAGTAAGTTGGAGTACTTTGAAATTTAAAAAATCTGTTAATTCTCTCTTATTTGCTTACTTCAATAATTTGCTATAATCTGTATCAAATAATGGACATTTATCTTATCTTACAATAAAACATCACAGCATTTACTTTCTCGGGTTGTGCCAGCCTTGGCCATGGTGAGCTCCTCTAAATTGCCTGCCATACCCACTGACAAGCTGGCACTTCCTCACTGTAAGATACTCCTGCTTTGTATGGCCCCTGCCCTAACCTTGAGTCAGCCATTTTTCCAACGTGCTATTCCCTTTAAAAATAAAACACATGAGAGCCAGGCATCGGTGGCTCACATGTGTAATCCTAGCTACTCAGGAGGCTGAGGAAAGTCCGCAAGACTCTTATCTCTGATAAACCACCAGAAAACTGGAAGTGGCACTGTGGCTCAAGTGGTAAAGCACTAAACTTGAGCTGAAGAGCTGAGGGACAGTGCCTAGGCCCAAAGTTCAAGTGCCACAACCAACAAAAAATAAAAACACATGAAACAGTCTATCAAATCAATATCAGATCAATTTCATTTCAGAGTTTCCCATGGCTCAAATTTTAAGTTTAAGGTAAAATAGTGCCATGTTTTTATTGCTTCTTCTCATCTTCTCCTGCTAATCCATCCCTTTTCTGCTTTGCACTAAGCCCTGGAAGCTGATTTCTACAGTCTGTCACTTGGACTACCTTGAAGTCTGGCCCTTAGCTGAGTTTGGCCATTATAAGGGCCAGTGCAATGGAAGGGTGAATTGGAGTATTTATTCCCCAATCTCTCCCTTACCTTGCCCCTGCAAACCCACTGGCTAAGCCCTGGGCACCTGCTTTACTCCTGTGCTGTTCACCTTATCCTGCCAATACATGGAGTGATTAGGTATCTATTTCCTTGTTGAGATCCCATCTAAAGGGTCATTTTACTAACTACATGCAGTATTCTAGAATAGCTTTCTCTTTACGAGTTCTAAAGTCTTGGTCCACACAAAAAAAATTCCTTGTTTCTGAAATAAAAAGCTATGAATATTCTTTGATCTATGACAAAAGTATTTAGGAAAAAAAGGACACCTTATTTTATAACAGCTCTTAATACCTTATAATCAGGTCGAATATTTGCAAAATATATGAAGGAATCAACAGCAAGTGCAATTTTCAGTCCACCTCCTTCCCAAGACAGTGCAGTCATCTGCTTCCCGGGAACTTTCAAAGCACCCAAATGCTGGGGGGAGGGAGGGGAAAAATCACATTAACCTCAAGTTTATATCACAATGACAAATTACTCCCACCAGCACTTAATTAAGATCAACAGTGGTAAGAAAATGATTCTGTGAAGAACTATTACTCATTTTTAAATAAATTTTTCTTTTTAGACTAAAAAACATACATTTGATAGAAATTTATAAACTATATCCACAGTACTGGAAAACAAATTTCACTAAATCTAAGACACCACAGTCTGAAATATGCTCCTTTACTTTTATGTGCAACTTAGGAAAAAAGTGTTTCTAATTAAAATATAGTATGATTTTAAGATTCATCCCTTCTACCCTTCTTGTCATAGAACAAGAAGGCCCTCACTAGAGCCATAGCCTTGGCAGGGCGTCCAGCCCTGTGAGCAAATAAATGTCAGAGCTTGTTTCCCAGCGTGTGGTACTCAGTACTAGCAGTGGACAATGACAAACGACAGATGCACTAACCCCTGCTCCACAGGGAAACTAAAGGAACAACCAAACAAAACAGAAAGTCTTACCTAGGAGGATCTGTCTTGCTGCCTACATGAAACCAAAGGGTACCAAACAAGCTTGGGTGAGCATCCCTGCACCACGAGAGATAAAGGCCAGCTCCTAGCTATACAAACTGGCCAGGAGGTGGCAGCACTGCAGACAAGAAGCACTGGCTATGTTGCCAAGCACTAGGCAAAGCCCTTCATCCTTCTCTCCTCCAATCCTCAGAACACCACCAATAGAAGTTACCCCAATTCTAGAAAACAAGCAAGCTTAATCTCAGAACTAAGCGAGTCAAACAATACCTCCAAAATGGAGCAGAGAGCCAGGCTCTAATTTCAAACCCCATTACTACCACCCAAAACAAAAAAAGAAAACGAAGAAAAAAAAGACTAAACATAGAGCAATCCAGCAATCCCACTTCTGGGCATTTACCCAAATAATCACAAACAAGGCCATACTAAAGCTACCAGGACAACTATGTTTATCACAACATTATTTACCATAGCTGAGATATGGAACCAACCCAGATGCCCCTCAATAGATGATGGATCAAGAATATGTGGTACATATATATGTATACATATATGTATATATATATATATACATATATGTACATATATATGTGTGTATACATATATGTGTGTGTATATATATATATATATATATAATGGAGTTCTATGCTTCCACCAGAAAGAATGGCACTGCCCCATTTGTAAGGAAATTGAAGGACTTGGAAAAAAATCATATTAAATGAAGTAAGCCAGACCCAAAGAAATATAGGTCCCATGGTTTCCCTTATTTGTAATAATTAGTATACGTCTAGGATAATCTTAGCAGTTGAGCAGAATAGCTCAATAGCCATGTACATATGACCATATAAGAATGATGCTAAGCAAAATTGACTCCAAGACATGGACACAAGAGGTTTTTCTTTGTTACTGTTGTTTTTAATGTACTACGTAATTTCTTTTTAAGCAAAATTGACTCCAAGACATGGACACAAGAGGTTTTTTCTTTGTTACTGTTGTTTTTAATGTACTACGTAATTTCTTTTTTTCTTTTGTGTTTTTCCCCTTATGGTTTATCCTGTTGTCACCATATTAGAATTTGGTACCCTAGGTATTGTATATACATTTACCTGAATCAAGAAAGGGAAGAACAACAAAATGGTGAGACAAAGGACAAAGTGGGAACCAATGCAACAGTGATACTCACAAGACAGTATGTTGGAAATGATCTGTACAAATTGGGGTGGAGGGGGATTGGGAGGGAGGGAAAGTGGAAGAAAAATGAGGGAAGGCATAACAAGTTTGACAAGAAATGTACTCACTACCTTACTTATGTAATTGTAATCCTTCTGTACATCACCTTGACAATAAAATAAAAATTATAATAAAAAACTTTAAGTACTAAAGTATATGACACTACTCAAAAGCCAGTTGTGAAGAGATTAATAGGCAGACCAGACAGAATATCCTAGATAGCTACTCCATAGTGGTATCTTATGTCAGACTTCTAGGTTTCTTTTATTTTTTCCTTTTGTTTTGTTTTTTGGTGATTTTTGTTTTTGTTTTTTGAGGCATCATCTCACTGTGTACCTTTGGCGGGTTTTAAACTTTGGATCATCCTGTCTTATGTTGAGATAGGTTTGCACCACCATAACCAGCAAACTTCAGGGTTTCTAAATGAACATTACCAAATAAACTCCATAATAAAATACAATTTGTGGCATGAAGACATTATTCACACACTTATAGTCTCAGAATTATTACTTAAAATGTCCCTAAATAAATGATGTTTATACTTTTTCTATTGTTTTTTTCCTGCCTGCAAAAGGGAAGAAGTAATCACTGAAATGCATTTACCTCACCAAAGGGAGTATAAAACTGCACAGAGTTGATATCTTTTTCCTGAGTGACGACCCTCTGGGAGCCGGCCACGGCTAACACACTACCAGTGTGGTTCCACTGGATGCTGACCACGTTCATGCCCGTATCAACCAAAATTGGGTCTAGTCAAGAAAAAAAAAAAAAGGTAAGTTAAGAGTAACATAACCTACAGAACTGTATGAGGTTAAGACAATTTTTAAATATTTATTTAATTCTCCAATTATAAATGGGAAGATGACTTACTTTGGTCATTTTCATGTCTCATTATTTGGCATCTTCCATTGTCAAAACAAATAGCCAGGCAAGGACAGTCAGGTTCCACATAGCCTTCTGTGCCATGATACCAATGAATGCCTGCGATGCTGATGGCTCCAGTGACGTTCACCAAACAATTCAGCTTCATTTTCATCTAGACAGAGTCACATAGCTTACTTATGGGCAATTTCAAACAGAGAGCTGCTGGAAGACCATTGAAGGTGGGATCTAAAATCTGGCTGCAAAGGCAAGCCTCAAGGCTACTGAGAATACTCTCAGAGGACAATATCACACGGAAACTGACTTTTTGTAGACTAGAGTGATGTCTGAATCCTCTTCACAAACAAAACTGCCTTACCAGTGGGTCAGAGATCTATCCTGGCTCCACCTTGCAAAGCCAGAACTTTTCTCCAAGTTATATGACTTTACCTTCTTTCTACAAACTTGTTTTTCTCTCATGATATAAGTTCCCCATTCTTTTTGCAAACAACTTTTTTTTGGGGGGGTCCAGTTGTGGGCCTGAACTCTGGGCCTGGGCGCTGTCCCTCAGCTCTTCAGCTCAAGGCTAGCGCTCTACCACTTGAGCCACAGCGCCACTTCCGGCTTTTTTCTTTTTATGTGGTACTGAGGAATCGAACCCAGGGCTTCAAGTATGCAAGGCAAGGGCTCTACCACTGAGCCACCTTCCTAGTCCCTGCAAACAACTTTTATTGATTCAAAAATACTTTAATATCTAGCTGCATGAAAACCTGGACTTGAGGCAGCAGAAGATACTAGCAAATTTAAATTTCACAGCATCCTAATCCCTATCCCCTGCTTTAACACACTGACATTGAATCCATCCAGATGCCAAAAACCAGAACTGAAAGCAAGGCTAATCTCTATGGGCCTTAGAGAAACTAATTTGTAAAAAAACTTGACTAAAAAAAATTTTAGCCAAAAATATTTTTCCAGCTAAAAAAAATTTCTAGCCAATGGCTCATGCCTATAATCCTAGCTACTCAGGAAACTGAGATCTGAAGATCACAAAAGCCAGCCCAGGCAGAAAGGGTCATAGGACTCTTATCTCTAATTAACCACCAAAAAAGCTGGATGTAGAGCTGTGGCTAAAGTGGTAGAGCAGTAGCCTTAAGCTCAAAAGCTCAGGGGCAGTACCCAGGACTTGAGTTCAAGTCCCCAGACCAGCACACACACACACACACACACACACACACACACACACACATACACACACAAATACCTTTAGTCTCAGTAACTCAGAGGCAGAGATTAGGAGGACCATGGTTTGAGACCAGCTTGTACAAAAGAGCAATACCCCCATCTCAAAAAACAAGTTGGGCATGGAGTCATACCTGTAATCCACTAAACATACCTATCTAAAAGCTACTGTGGAAGATACAGGCAAAAGGATTATGGTCCAGGACAGCTAAGGCAAACACATGAGACCCTACAAGAAAATAACTTCCATTAAGTAGTGCTAGGGGTACAGCTTAAGTGGTAAGAGTGCCTACTGACCAACATGAGACTCTGAATTCAAAGCCTAGTACCACAAAAACTTTTTTTGATTGAAAAAGAGAAAAAACTGACTCAAAGACTAATTATATAAACTATAATAAACGTACATATAAAGGATATAATAATTACATAAAGCTATGTAAATAGATATGAGTATGTACTTACTATAAAATTTCCTTGATTATCATAAATGTGTATTTCCCCATTCGCCATTCCAAAAAGTAAGATTTTACTATCTGCAGACCATGCTACATGGCACAACTGTATACCCTTCAGGTCTTTTCCCCAAATACGGTTCCCTAAAACAAAACATAAATATAATTATTGGAAGTTCAGAGTCACTATCTTCCAGCTGCTTTCAAAATCTTTGTCCCCCTAAAGAATATCAAATGCCCATTCTTTATTGACTAACCTACCTAAATTAATTATTGAGCACATATATAAGCTAACATCATAAAAGACCTTTTAAGCAGCAGCCATTCCTTTTCACTATCATGAACTCTTTCTTCTGCTCCTCTCCAAATGCTGCTGGCTTCTAACTCTACCAATGGCCCTTAAGTTTCTTCACCCATTTGGGGTTTAAGCTACCGTGCATATCTAGAGATTCCCCAATTACGCCTTCAGCCAGATGTTTCTGAGCTGCAGCCATAAATACCTAACAAGGATCTGGGTCTCAATCACTTCTTCCAGTATCACCTTAGGAAAACAAACAATAGTGTTTTCTTTTTCTTAAATATACTTGCTTAAAACAAACAGTTAGAACCAGCAAAGCAAAAAGTATTCTTAGATGTCATCAAATGGTGAATCAAGTGCTGTATCTATTTTTAAATCAGAATGCTAATTGTTATGATACTTAAATCTCTAGGGATAAAAGCCAGCTGGATGTTGCTCTTAGTCCAAGGCATGCATGCATACCATCCACCGAGCCAACGATCACAGCCCCATCCTCATATACGATACAGATCTTCTGCCCGTCGGAATTCCAGCTCATACTTCGAACCACTGACTTGTTCCGATTGTTGATCATCTCCTCATACCAGGAGCCTGTTCCAGAGATTAAAAAATTGACAAGTCACACTTTCACATCTATTGAATAGTACTTCTAGTTAACAGCTTGTCTAGAAAGCATCCTATGGGATAAAGAGTTGCAAAGCTTTCTTCCTTCTGTGGAACTGAACTATAGACCATCAAACCCAACACACGCACGCACACACACACACGCACGCACGCACGCACGCACGCACGCGCACGCACGAGAAAAAGTCATCTAACCTTGGGGCCAATTGCTTCAAGGTCATCACAGAAAACACGACAAACACCTATTATTTTCCCTTTGTTCTTTCTTCCTCTTTCTACCTCTTTCTTCTAGTCAATTAAGATTGATTGAATATACTATTGACATGTGTGGAAATGTAACAGTAAAATCCTCCTCTGTGTAACTAACATAAGCTAATGAGAGTGAGATGAGACAAAGAGAGACAGAGAGAAATAAATAAAACCTTACAAAATAAGTAATTAAAACCCTACTTGCTTTTTTAGGCCCAAAACCACTGATTTTTTTAATTAACTTTCCCCTTTTAAAAATAACATATAGCATTTTCATATAATAATTATGAAGAGATGACAGCAAACAACACCTTACATGTATGCATACTCATACTCTCCAATGATTAATTACATACTAGGCAAAAGCATCTCAAATACTAGGTAAATGCTGAGCTTACAGTACTGTTACAGTAATAAACAGATCATCATTATGCTGATGACAAAAACATTCTAACTACAAAATCGCCTACCTGAGATGAGATGTGACTTCCCCGTAGTAATGTCAAATTAGAGGAAAAAGAAAAAAAAGCAGAGGGGATGGAATATACTGGCCAGCAGCCAAGTAAATAGTCACATGATTTAGACTAACTCTTCAAAACAGGGCACTAACAGAATCATGACTGAAGCCTTGAGAAGGCTGACTCTGAACACCAAAGGTACACTAATCTACTGTACTCCATGTGGTACCCCACTGCATGCCTACACACACACTCTCTCTCTTTAAAATAAAATTCATAATTTTAAATTAAAAATGTGTAAATGTCATATTCTGAACCTTTATAAAACAGGAGACATTACTAAGGAAAATGATGGCTACTCTCCTGAACAAAATACACATTATGAGCTGCTTTTCTAGTAACAGTGACACATCTAAGTTAACCCTTCTCTTCCTTCACCCCCTGGAGCTCAATTGTGGACAAGGAACACAAATTATGAATCAGTTTTCTGAGCTGAGAGAAAATGTATATCCACAAAAAAAGGGAAGCTAACTGACTCAATCCAAGGAATGAATTATTGCCTTTGACTTCATAAATGTGTTTCTAACTTGTAAGCTAACCCCAGCCACTAATTGCATAGGGAGTAATTCCCATTGGAAGTCTGGAAGGTGGGAGGGAACTATCTCATGTAGAAACTAGTCTACTAAGTGTCCAAGTTCATTTTGAAGACATTCAACAGTAACCTATTTGTTTTCTTAATGGGTTCACAGTTCAAAAGAAATAACTGGGCAGAAATAAATCCAGAGTACCACTGCACAGTCATCATGAACTCCTCCTGCTAGTTATAATGAATCTATTTTAGAGAAATACTGTGAGCTAGACTCCAGTTAGTGAAATACAGCAGCTCCTAAAATACCTTTATATAGCATCCAAACAATGATAAGCCCATTCTGATCACTGGTAGTCAACTTCTGATACTGCTCATTCCAGGTTATAACTTGAACCGCACCTAGGACATCAGAACACAATTTATAAATTTTAAAATTACAGATAATTTCAAATCTGTATCTGTATAAGTCCCAACTAAACAGTCTTCAATATTAAAGTATAGATACCAAAAAGATTCAGAGGATATAGTTACTGAAGTCACTAATTTTCTACAACTACGCATAATACAATTTCTATCTACCCCTCTATCATAAGACTTATCTATGGCCACTTAAAAAGTTATCTTTAATCTGATGAGAAACATAAGCAAGCAGAATTGGGAGTATAGCTCAAATGGTACAGCATCAGCCCTGAGCAGGAAAGGCCAAGCAAGACCTCAAGACCCTAAGTTCAAGCCCCAGTGGAAAAAAGAAAAGAGAAAGTAAACCTAGCTGGACATTGAGGGCTCATGCCTATAACCCTAGCTACTCAGGAGCCCATCAGTCTCTTATCTCCAAATAACCACCAAAAAGCTGGAAATGGAGCTGTGGCTCAAGTGGCAGAGAACTAGCCTTTGACCAAAAAAAAAGCTCAGGGACAAAACCCAAGCCCTGAGTTCAAGCCCTAGTACCTGCACACACTAAAAATTCAAGCATGAATGATTAACCAAACCATTATTGATGTCCCAAAGGAAACTGTGTTGTCCTTTTGAGATTTTTGGTTGGTTAGTTGTTTGTTTTCCATTTTCCCTCATCTCAATTTTCTATGCTATTAGTAACAAGTTATGAGTACCTCTTAAACTCTGGGTTATATAAAAAATTGATTTTTTTGTTTTCTTATCTATAAATACTTCAGTGTCTATTTCCTAATGACAATATCTTTCATAATCATATTATAAATCTAAATTTTTAACTGATAAACTATTGTCTAATACATAGTCCATTTTCAGATTTCATCAATTGTCAGATAATGTCCTTTCTAGATATTTCTTTGTCTCCTAGCAGGATCCATGAGATCATATAATTCATTCAGTCATTTTATCTCTAGTTTCCTTTAATCTGGAATCACAAGACAGATTCTTTAAAATGACCTGACATCATTTTAACATATTTATATTATATATACACACATATACATAAACATGTATGTATATATGTAGTCAGACATTTTTAATATATAAAATAACAGTACTTTTCCATACTTATCAAAGATGCATAATCCTGTTAAAAGATGATATGCCTCTAGGCCATATAAATTATGGCTCAATAAAAATTATTATTTTAAATATTACAACTATCTAAAATGTCAACATCCCTGCATTAAGTACATGGATTCAAAATGAATAAAAAATAAAAACTAGATGACTCACCACTGTGACCTTCCAGGGTCTGATTCATAGAAAGGTTACTAGGAGCTGCAAGACCCTTCAATTTTGCATCATCTAAAGCAAATAAATAAATAAATAAAAATTAAAACTTATTATACTATATATATACATATACATGTATAAAAGTAATAGGTTATATGTTTTTTTGACATATCCTGAGGTTTGGCGAGATAAAGACATTAGAATGGTTTTCTGTCCCTCATTCACAGTGCAAGTGTGAATAATACTGTATTCTTTCAAAATAATAGTCTAGGGAAATATTTTACTCAGTATATTAAAAAGGTGCACAGTCACTAGTGCTTCATATTCCTTCCAAGAGATCCTAGCTAGAAGATCTGTGGGCAGAGACTGAAAACACTAAAACTTATTTATGAGGGACCAGACAGCAAAGACCTTAGAAGCAAGTTTTTTTATTGAGTTTCACAGAACTTCATGCATGTATTCATTCCTTCAACTAATATTTATTCAAGATGCACACTGTGCTAGGAACTAAGGAAGGTACTGGGTAGCAAATGATGAACAAAATGGTTCCTTCTTCTCATAGAGCTTGTAACCTATGGGTAGTATGGTGAGAGATCTCACACATGCACACACGCACACACACACACACATACACATAATTACAAACTTGGAAAGTAAAGACAGCACAAGAGAGGGCCACAGGGGCTAGTTTAGACTGAAAACAGACAAGGAAAGAAATGGTAACTGACTAGGGATAGCAAGGCAAAATAAGGACAGATAAGTGGATTGAATCTAGATAGCAAGCAAGAAATGAAAGGCCCTGGACCTCTAGTGACTGAAACAAAGACCTGTGTGAAGGAAGGAAGGAAAAATGGGCTCAGAGGGAGAGGGAGTGATGATCAGATCACCTGATTCCTTGCCTCTCTATGAAGGCAACATGAGGGACTACACATGAGGGATACAGCTATGCACGCATGAACTGATCCCTCTGTTGTCTGACCATCTTCAAAGGCTGGGCCATTCTCACTGCTTCAGTTACCTTCAGACAGTACACATGACTACAGTTAGCTGGCATGACCTTTAAATACTGCTCCTCTGATCCAAGGGGTTTTTTATTAATAAGGGTTTTTTATTATGAAAATACCGTACAGAGGGGTTATAATTAATGAGTACATTTCTTATCAAGCATTGTTGCCTCCTCCTTTGTTTCCCCTTACCAAGTGTTTTTTTTTTTTTTAATCCAGATTCTCTATCTCTTCAGCATTGCACCATGAAAAGCTAGAGATGCCACCTCAGTCAAGTCCTAGATCCAGTTACTTGGGGGATCACCTAAGCCCTGGAATTCAAGGCCAGCCTAGACAACATAGATGGAGGGGGGGGAGGGAAAGTGGGGGAGGAGGAGGAGAAGGGGGAGGAGGATGAGGCGACAGAGGAAGAGGAAGAGGAGGAGGAGAGAATGCTACCACAATCACCATTAAACTCTGCTACCCTAACTCCATCTTGGCTACCCATCTTTTAACTTAAAACATTTCAGCAGAGTTTTTTTGTTTTTGTTTTACAGATGACATTGGCTAGTGTGTAAAGAATGACAAGAAAGAGGCAAGAGACAATGGGATTTTCCTAGCCAATGATTTTCCTAGAAGTCTAGATGAGGACTGACAGTGGCTGGAGAACCAGAAGTTACAGGGAACACAAAAGAGATGAGTGTCATCAAGGTAAACTTGGGACATGGAAGCAATGATTGCTGATGGGGTGATATTAAAGTGGAAGGGGAATGGAGAGAAAGGGGGATCCAGCTGAGCAAATAAATGAAATTAAGACCCTGGCTGAATGGAGATACTTTAGATTTGGAAGATGACTGGGATTTTGGTTTTGGACAGTAAACCGGACATGACTGTAGACATGGAATGTAGACACGCCCACATATCTAAAACCAGGATCCAGCAGGAGATATAAATAAAGATCATCACCCCACACAAGGATTTGAAGTTACAGGAATGAAGAATAAGTGCTGACAGAACAGATCCAAGTTCTAAGTAATTCCAATCATTAGAAAAATCTAATGAATTATGAATCTAGTAAAAACATTGAGGATGTCACACAGAAGCAGGGGATAGATAATATGTTTAAGTGACAGTAATTGCTTTTACTTCTCCTGTCTGGAAAAATAATATTTAAAGAAAGGAAGAAGCCAGGCACCAATGGTTTGTTATAATCCTAACAACTCAGGAGTATGAGATCTGAGGATAACAGATCACAGCCAGCCTGGAGAGACAAATCCATGAGACCCTTATCTCCAATTAACTAGCAAAAAGTTAAAACTGTAGGCATGACTCAGCCTTGAGAAGAAAAAGAACAAGAAGGAGCACGAAGTCCTCCAAGACCCACAAACAGACATAAGTTTTAAAGAAAAATGCCCTCTGCTTCTCATGATGGTACCTGCTTTATAGTCTCAGCTTCTCAGGAGGTGAAGCAGGATAGCTTGAACCCAGGAGTTCAAGATCAGCCTGGCAAAGTATTGATCTCTCTCTCTCTCTCTCTTTCTCTCTCTCACACACACACACATACACACACACACACACATACTCAGTGTCACACAAAATAAATGGCAGCCTTCTGAGTAGCTAGGACTACAGGTGTGTGCCACCTGCACCCAGCGTTTTGGTTCTAGGCAAGCAAATTAATGTAATTTAAACCTGATACAAGCTAGGCGCCAGTGGCTCACATCTGTAATCCTAATTACTCAGGAGACTGAAATTTGAGCATCATGGTTCAAAGCTAGCACAGGAAGGAAATCTATAAGATTCTTATCTCCAATTAACTACTAAAAAGCCAGAAGTGGCAGTGTGTGTGGCTCAAATGGTAGAGCACTAGCCTTGAGGAAAAAAAAAGCCCAGGCCTTGAGTTCAAGTCCCAAGACCTACACACACACACCCAAAAATTTTTTATACAAATTTTAATTGGATTTTTTGATATGAACATATACACATAAACATGTGAGAAACATTAACAGAGGGAAAAAAACACATTCTTAAAGCACTGAGAGATTAAATTACAAAACATCAGAAGCCAAAGTTTTGTACCTAGATATTGATTTTTCAAAACTGCCTTTTGACTCACAAAATTAATGTAGTCTCCTCTTTGCTAGTGCTATCCATGAGTTCTCTGTTGAATGGTTAAAAACAAGGACTTGAATGTGAAATAAACTTAGTTTCCTATGCTAGCTCTACTATTCACTGCCTGCAGAATCTTAGCAACTTGTTAACTAATCAGCACCCCCATTTTCTCCCGTGGAACGTTCACTTCTATCAAATGGGTCATTCAGGAGTGTGTGGCAGAGCCAATTCCAAATGCAATTTCTTTATCTAAATCCACAAACTTGATTAAGAATCATCTAGCCCACTGCTGGTGGCTCATGCCTGTAATCCTAGCTTCTCAGAAGGCTGAGATCTGAGAACTTCGGTTCAAAACTAGCCCAGGCAGGAAAAGTCTGTGACACTCTTATCTCCAATAAACCACTCAGAAAACCGGAAGTGGCACTGTGGCTCAAGTGGTAGAGCAGTTGCCTTGAACTGAAGAGCTCAGGGACAGCACCCAGGCCCAGAGTTGAAGCCCCAAATCTAGATCACCAACCTAGACCAACAAGATGAAAGCTAAAAATTGTATAACTTTGCTGTGCTTTCAGAGATCTAGTCATTTTAAAAAAGTAAAATATACTCAGTTTCCTATTTGGGAGCACTAGTCATATAATCATTGAGAAAAATTATAGAGGCCTGTAAATAGCATACAATAAAAAAAGACTATCTGAAAAAAAATAAAGCAAAAAGGGACTGGAGACATGGCTAAACGGGTAGAGAGCACTTGCCTAGCAAGTGTGAGGCCCTCTACCACCAAAAGTATAAATATGCCAAAATGTGAGATTTTGTCATATTACCAAAGTGTTGGTTTCCATGGCTTCAATTTGAATCCTATGGCATCAGTCCGATCTTTGAACATAGCATAAGACAACATACTTTTCATTTTTTTACACTTTACATCAATAATATCAATAAAAAAGCAATCTGATGTTTATTATATAATGTTATTTATATTCTCTACACTTGATTGAAAAAATACACTAGGAAAATCACCGTACCCTCACACAAAATCACATACAGAATCATGCATACTCTTTTTAAGAGCTAGACAAATACTTTCAACAAATCTGACATTAGCCATTTTTCTAGCGATCTCAAACATTTTGGCCTTGTCTTCATTTACCTGTTTGTGTCTCTAATTTCAAAACTTTCAATAATCCCTCTTCACCTCCACATGCTATAAACCCTTGGTCCTTGTTCCAGGATATACACTTCAGCCTCACGTTGTTAGGGATGGCGATCTGTAAAAAGAGTCACAGCCATGCTAGCACCTTTTCACGAAGGAAGGGGCAGTTAAGTCTGAAGACTGAAGAAAAGATTCCAAAGGAAACAGCAGACCTTGCGGGGGGGGGGGGGGGGGGTAGAGAGGAGGAAAGGAGCCGTTACAGACAGGGACGTGGGTCCCCCAAATGCCCCCAAGGTGCTACCTTTTAGTAGAGAAAAAGGAGTGCACACAAAAGAAGCAGCAAGCCAGGTGTGTAGGTCGCCTGAAGAATGTCTAAAAGCTGGAGAGAGAGGTATAAATTCATACTACTATGCATTTCCCTGCACAGTATTGGACCACCCAAGTGTTTTGTTGTTATGAGCCATCGTCCGAATCCGCAGCAAGGAGTGGAGGAAAGACGGCAGCACGGCGTAGCAGCAGGTGGCCAGTCCAGCAGGACACCCCAAAGGGCCCGGCCGGGGGAGGAGGGGGGCGCATCGGAGAATGGCTGGAGAAGGAAGCTGCCTCAGCCAAGGGGTACCGGAGACCAGAAGACCGGGAGGAGGAGGGCCGAGGCGGGGCGGGGTACAGAGCAGGTAGCCGGAGGGCCAGGCTGAGGAGACGCGGCCGGCCAGGCGGGAAGGATGAAGGACGGCCCGCGGGCTCCCGGAATGGAGGAGGAGCGAGGCACACCCCCGGGAAACTCACTTTCTTGCTCAGGTAGAAGAACATCGTGGAGACTCAGAGGCAGGCCCAAGGCCTACAACTAGTAACGGCTTCTACATCTCCACTGACCGGTATCTGCACTCAGGGAAGCTCCCGTCGCCCTGGCAACCGCAGCCGCTCCGTGGCATCCGGCGCGCTGAGGAGCACTTCCTGTGCCGCTGCCCCGCCCCCTTCCCTATTCCCTGGGCCCCCGTGAGTCTTTGTGCGCCTGCGCGGGCGATGGGCCCGCCCACTCCAAGCGGGATCTTATACCCCGAGGCTAGGCTTTGAGAGCCGGCTGGTGGAGTCACGTGATCTGATCTGTATCGCCGTTGGCCGCGCGGACCGGGCAAATTAACGCGTTTTGCGGGGAGGGCGTGGAGATCTCTCGGGAGCAGTTTGGGCGTTGAGAAGTCTGTTTATTCTGGGTAGGGGTTGGTAAAATGGTTAAACTGTTGCTGAGGCCCTGAGGCTGCTGTAATTGTCCCTGCTGGGCGGTGTGGCACCCCCCCCCCCACCGCCCGGGGTCCACCTCTCCCTCTGCCTCACTTGTTTTCTCATTCTCCCTGGTCTGTTTTCAATGTGTGATTGATGCAGAGCCTCAGAATCCGAAGCACACGGCAGTAGCCCACGAACAGCCGCCCCCTTGGGAGTCTTTTTCATCGCTGCAGCTGCAGGTGCTGACGTGGGTCATCAGGGTGCACTTTACACAAAGGAAAGGTGGTGTCCCCACCGTGGGGTCTTGCCCCTTTCAAATCTTCATTCATATCCTGTGACCTGAACCTATTGTTGGTCCCCCAGCATCTTCTAGAGTTGGCGACTGTTCCAGTGCCTTATCTAGTAAATCTAAATTCTACCTAAAAACCACAGTTCCTTCATCCTTAAAGGATCTTTTATGATGACATAAGCCTTTCACTCTTTGTACATTAGTTCTCATTTATTCCTTCTATCCCAGTATTTCTCTACTATATTAATATAGAATCAAATAACCTGGGGAAATACTGCTGTAGTTTCCAAAATTTGAAAGTTAACAATAGTTGTTTCGTATAATATGCTGATTTAGTGTACTTCTTTAAGGTTATTTTAGGTTTACATCTTTAAATTATATTTGCTTCTCAGGAACTTATGTCAATATTAGTCTCTCATTTTGTCTAAATCTAGATAGTTTTACCTCACTCCTGCTGCAATAATTTTATCTCACTCCATCTGCTGCAAACGTACTTCATTATAGCCTACTAGTGGTATTATCCAAAATAATAGGTTTCACTGTGACATTTTCATTCATGTGTATAAGATATTGATGATCTCCATCCCTCCATTTCCTCCTCTCACCTCCCCCATTCCATTTGATCCCTCTCCTCTTTAACAATTCTATTACTTTCATGTCTTCCTCCTTCCCCTAGATTTCACAATTGAGAGAAAAGTATATAATGCTTGTCTTTCTGAGTCTGGATTATTTCACTTAACATGATGAGCTTCAACTCTACCCATTTTCCTAAAGCTGATATAGTTCTTTTTTATTTAGTTTTTATTGTTATTATAAAGGTGTTGTTACAAAGGGGGTCACAATTACATGTCAAGTAATGAGCACATTTCTTTTTGGAGAATGTCACCCCTTCCCTGGCTCTCCAGCAGTTTTTCCCTCCCATCTCACCCACAAGTTGTATAGTTTCAACATAGTGTCTCCTGAGTACTACTGCTGCATTTGTTCATCCTTTGTCCCTCCATTTGGTTCTTTATGACCACATAATACCCTATCATATGTGGATAGATAGGACATTTTCTTTGCTCATTCATTCACTGGCAAACACCAGGCTGATTTCTTAACTTGGTATTGTAAATAATGCCACAGTAAACATAGGTATACAGGTATTAGTGGTTACTGTTATTCCAGTAGCACAGTTGGATCACATTATAAATCCACTTTACCAGTTTGTGTGTGTATGTGTGTGTGTGTGCACACGTGTGTGCGTGCGCATATGCAGTATTTATTTACTTATTGCTCAAGGTTAGCATTCTACAACTTGAGCCAAAGTTCTACTTCCAGCATTTTGGTGGTTAATTGGAGGTAAAAGTCTCAAGAACTTTCCTTCCCTGGACCGGTTTCATATTGTGATCCTTAGATCTCATCATCTTGAGTAGCTAGGATTACAGGCATGAAATAATTGCATCTGGCTTAACTAATATTTTTTTAACCTCAAGAATATTAGATTTAAGCTGGCACTGGCTCCTGCCTATAATCCTAGCTATGTAGGAGGCTGAGACCTGAGGATTGCAGCTTGGAGCCAGCCAGGGTAGAAAAATCTGTGAGATTCTTATCTCCAAATAACCACCCCTAAACCAAAAGTTGAGCTTTGGCTAAAAGTGGTAGAGTGCTAGCCTTGAGCAAAATTGCTCAGGGACAGCACCAAGCCATGTATACAAGTCTCATGATTGGCAAGAAAAAAAAAGTATCTGATATTTAATATAGTAAAAGTATCAACATTCTATCCTTTGACACAAAACTGATACCCTCAAAATAATTACTAATTTAGTTCAACATAACTATATTCAGTAGACAAAATTAACACAAATCATCAAAAAAGGACATAACAATAATAAAGAGAATAAATTTTATTGTATTAAAAAATTCAAACCAAAATAAAGAATTTGAGCATTAGGTTTCCTACTAACATTAAATAAGACAATCTTAGATTTTATTACTTGTTATGTCAATTTTACATAAATTTATTAATTGATCCCAAAGCAAAATAATAAGTAAATTTAGGGTTGTGTTTCCTTTTTTGGCCTTGGTAAAAAGTTTAATATCCTATTTACAATTAATGTTTATTTGTTGTAAATTTATAAGGCCAGAATGAATTTAGGTTGGTATGCAATGTTCACTAACAGTACTTTGTGTTAATAGTTTTTAATATATTGCAATCCCTTGATCATAGATTCAATAATGCTCAGTAAAATTATGCACAATACAAGTGTTAAATTGTGAACAGTTCCAAATTATATATCACAATTTAATCATATAAGCCTTTTATATGTAACTTTTGTATACTTTGTAACTTTATATATAACTCTGTAAAAGTTATAAGATTTTTACATATTATAAATATTATCAAGAGAAAATAGATCTGATGTTCCCATTACCCACTTGACTATCTTTACTCATCTAATAATTAATAGTTAAATGGCTCAATTAGTAGCTAATAAAACATTAAACATTTTATTCTACTTCCTAGCAACCATTTCACAGTCATAGCATAGACATACTAAAGTGTGCTTTTAATAAAGTTCTGCACACTTACTTCCTTAGAAAATAATATTGCTTCTCCAGAAAAGCCTCATACTATTTATCCAGTAATACCAAGGCATAATAATGGCAAATTACTGGGAGGAACAATTGAAGAAACAAGTGAACAAAAGGATAAGAACTAAACACATAAATTCTCCACATTTCCATATGAAAAAATCTGAGTATTTTTAACGATGTACTTGTCCATATTCATTTACTTGCAACTTCTCCAGAATGTCATCGAGTGGTTTCTTGTTAAGGCCAGTACTATTCATTTGTATGCATTAGACACAAACACTCTTTCAAACACTTCAACAGTAGAGAAAACAATGTAAAGAAGAGCAAAACTATTTTCTCACCAAGTCTAATCTAAAATTCAGATATTCTTTGAAGAGCATGATAAAATGAGACTATAGTAGTCTTCAAATCTTTTTGCTCATACAAAAATTAATTAGAAAGGCATCTCTTAGTGGTGTGGGTGTGAAAACAATATTCATAAAGTCTTGACAGAGTTGCTGAGTTGACCCTGTGTTTGTATCTTCATAGATTCAGGAAGAAAGATCTGCTTTACTTGCGTAGTTAGGAGAATGGAAACACTGATGTGAAACATGGGAAAGTAGTGTCCTAAGCAAAAGAATGATTTGGAAATTCATTCCTTTAAGATTATACCCTCCTTGAAAGCCTGCATACTTGTCAGTTATACCTACCACAGTCTGATTTCTATTCCCTCTGAGTTTTATAAAAATAGAGATGATAACTTGAGCTAAAAAGACAAAAGTACTTTTTCTATGTTAATCCTTTAACCAAAGAACTTATTTTTAAGGTTTCTAAGACAGTATCATTACTACATTTTGAAGTCTGTTTTGTGAGCATTTGTGTGGAACCACGTGCTTCCAAGATACCACACCCTGATTTGTTCTGTACTTGCACAGATTCTGAGCTCAGGAGTTCTGTTATTGCTATGGGAAAATCCTAGGAAAGAAATAGTTACATAGCTCTTACCTGTAAACATCACATGTGCATAGATGATGTACAAAACCATTATAAAGGAACTTTATACCTGACTTATGTAACTATAATACCCTGTACATCACCTTTATAATAACAATAAAATAAAGATGCAATGAATAAATAACAGCACCTATTAAATGATAAACCTCTTGTACAAGAATATTTTTTTTTGCCAGTCCTGGGGCTTTAATTCAGAGCCTGGGCATTGTCCCTGAGCTGCTTTTGCTCAAGGCTAGCTCTCTACCACCTGAGCCACAGCCCTACTTCTGGTTTTTTCTGTGTATGTGGTACTGAGGAATCGAACCCAGGGCTTCTTCATGCATGCTAGGCAAGCACTCTACCACTGAGCCACCTTCCCAGCCCTTAAATATTTTAAAATTAAAGCTTATAAGTCTTGCAAATAATATTAATACATGCAACTAAATTTTAAAAATAAATCAAAAGGAACTCTAGTATTTTTCAAAGCACTATTACTGCTTATCCTAAACCAACCAATAAGGTACTTACCTATGCAATGTCCAAAAATGTTCGGTACCATTGTGGTATCTAGATTGGCTTTAATAAGAAGCAGAATATCTTCCAAAAAGGATATGTTTGGTGTTCAGTCTTTGAAGATAGGAGCTAACTTTTTCCTGGAATGCCACGGTGGCTTCACAGCCACAAGAATCTTCCGTGGAAATGAGACTCCGTGCTTCTTCAACAGCTGGAGACAATAACATTATACAAATTGTTATAGCAACCTAGAAATTACAACAAATCAGTAGCTGGGCACATAGGTCAATGATAGAGCACTTGCTTGCTATATGAAGGCTCTGTGCTCAAAC